ATAATAACACAAAATATCAAAGTAAAACTTGAAAATTCCTATTTACACATTAGGGAGGAAAACAAACTGAGCGAAGTTTTTGGACATACTTCTAAAGGTGACCAAAGTTGATATAGACTCCAACATTTTACTAATTGTATCTTTATACGTACAAAATAATAGACTCTTTTACTCACACTAGTGAAATAAAATACAATGCATTGTTTTGTTTCAGAAAAAGAAGACAGTTTACAAGGCGGCGAGGTTCAACTTTCAGCATGAAATAATTTCACATATATTCATTTATTGCAGTGTAGTGACATGTTCAGTGAGTTCTGTTTGCTGACATACCGTTTAATATACTGTAATTTAATTATATATATATATATATAAACTCGCCTAGTTTACTAGGTCACTAGTTTTCTAGCCGGTCCCAAGCCCAGGTAAAGATGTGTAGGGGACTGCCTACAGAACTCAATAACACGATAAATATGCGAATAAAAATGCAAGTCAATTAGATGATAGTGTAACGATATATTGTCAAAAAATGAAGTAATGAGTTATGCTAATCACGTTAAAGGACTCTTAATTCGACCATCACCTGCAACTCGCCCAGAACTGCCAGTGGATACCAATCCTCCAACGAAAGCAGAAATTCTGAATTCGATCAAGCTACTGAAGTCCGGGAAGGCAGCAGGGACCGATGAAATTACTCCCGAAGCACTGATTGCGGAAGATGTTCTCACACCATTACTGCAAAAGGTTTGGAAAGAAGGAAAGGTGCCTACCGATTAGAAGAAAGACTGGCTACCTTGTCAAGCTACCAGAGAAGGGTGACTTACGCCTCACTCTGCAAGGACTGGAGTGGAGTAATGCTCTTGTCCACGCCAAGTAAAATACTAAGTCACGTCATCCTGGAGAGAATAAAAGATGCACCGGATGCAGAACTCCACCAGCCCAAAACAAGCTGGATTCAGGAAAGGCATATCATGTGCTGGTAAAATCGCATCTCTACTCATCATCACAGAACAAAGTATACAATGGCAGTCAAACCCCTACCTCAACTTCATCGATTTCGTGAAGGCCTTCGACAGACTATGTTGACTGAGACGTAATTTACAAACTTCTACAATATTACAGCATATCTCAAGTCTTTATCAACCTCATTCAACAGTTGGATATATGACAATGGCACGTGTCAGGTGATCCACCACGGAAAACTCAAAGAGGTGTTCGAAGTGAATACAAGAGTAAGACAAGCTGACCGCCTATTATCACCAGTGATATTCTTAATCGTGGTGGACTGGATTATGCGACAGACTCTGTGTCGAGAGCGAGGAGTCAGAAATACTCTGGACCACCGGATAAGAAGACTAGAAGATCTGGATTTCATAGACAATATATGTCTAATGTCACACAAACTCGAAGAATTACAGACGAAAACCAACAAAGTGGCTGAAGAATCAGGCGGCGAAGACAGGACTCCAGGTGAACATGGAGAAGACGGAGGTGATGAAGATAACCAACCCACAGCAACAGCAACAGCAACAAACAGCACCAGTCGTCATCAGCAAGGGAGATTTGACAGAGGTTACTTCGTTCACTTATCTGGCCAGGAAGCACGGTTTCAACCACATGCAGTCGGAACGGATGAAGATGTCAAAGCCAGTCAGCCAGAATTGGAAAGGCAAGATACGCCTTCATCAACCTGAAACCAGTTTGCAAATATCCTGCACTCAGCATAAGGAACGAGATTTTCATTTCCAACACTAGTGTTGAGTCGGTTCTTCTATACGGGTCAGAAACTTGCACTGTGTGTCACGAAAAGGATTTCCAACAGGTCACTGAAGAATTTTAGCAACAGCTGCCCTCCTCGCTTGCTGACTCCATACTGAAGATCGAATGGCCAGAAAGAATAAGCAACAAGAATCTCTGGCTGGGAACAAACAAACCAAGAGCCGATTGCTCAACAAATATGTAGGAGAAAGGGGAGATGGAACAGGCATACACTGAGGAGACTGTCGAATGACATCGCGCGCAATGCGGGTCATCGCTCGAGTGGAATGTCAATGGGAGGCAACAAGATGGGCTTGTGTCAAAAGGTGAAATGGACGAGATCATGAGTGATAACCGATAATGGTGGCTCAAGCTGAAGAGGAAAGCAGAAAAGAGAATGAAGTGGAGATTTGCTACTGAAGACATATTGTAACGCTCAAAGTCGAGAAACTTCGAAAAGAAATGTCGTTCATAGACTAAGTGTATATATATACATGTATACATATAGAAAAAATTATGTACACATTGAAAATAAATAAGATTCAGCAAAGATAGATAGATAAATAGATAGATAGATGGCTGGATGGCTGAATGGATATTGATTCAGATGTTCTGTTGAGATTGTCTCATACCATATATATGAACATTCAATCTAGACAACACTTAAATAATTTTTGGCACACAGTACGGCATAAATATATATATATATGTAGCAAGAAAGGATCAGCAACATGGTACTCTCACAGATAACGCATCAACCTGTTGCCCAAAAGATGCGTCGAAGAAAATAGAGATGGATAAGACGCATACTGGTGAAGCTATTCAATAACATCGCGCGACAGGCAAATCCTCGAGTGGAACCCGACTGGAAAACAACAAGTTGTGCGTGTGTCCGAGGGTGGCATGGAGGAGATTGTATGGGAAGAAGATGACAGTCCATGGGCAATCGTGGGGCCAGCTAAAGAGGACCGCAGAGAAAAGGATGAAATGGAGATGTGATGTTGTAGCCTTATGTTCCACCAGGAACCTAAAAGAATTATATATATATGTATATATATATAGCAAATAAAATATTGTTTGTAAAATGCAGAAAATTCAGTCAGTATAACGTACTTGCTTGCTAATTTGAAATGAGGGGTACGTTCAATGAGAAACTGCGAAAAGAATCTACATGGTGATATGCTTTAGCAGTACTTCAGGGCAGACGACGCTTCCATCTGAACTTTCATTGCGATAAACAAAGTCATGTTTAGTGTAACCTACCAAGACCCTTCACTTTTATGTTCACTGTAAAACATATTTTTGTGAAGATAGGCACTAGGAAAATTTCTATGTATAGAGGTTGCAAGCCTCGATTGACATTTTTCAAACTTATCAAAAAATTTAGCATGATAGCAACTATGTGCTAGTCTGTTTTCAAAGGGTGCTAATACAAATGGTTATTCAATTTCACCTGAAATATTCACCTCTGAGATATCCATTGTCAAAACTTCCTACAACTTAACAAGCTGTCTAAGTAAACTAGATTTGATCTCTACCCTAACTGATGAGGAGTGACTGGTAAATTGTCAGTAATCCAAACCTGAACTATTTATGAGTTTATCCTTCTTTTGCTGTGTATGACCATTTTATTTGTTCATGAAATCTATTGAGGAAATTACTTGCTGCTGATTTTTGGATGACTATTTTGGCTAGCGAGCACTACTCATATCAACCAATCAGTATCATATAGTGTCTCGCTCTATTTCACTTGGTTTCCTGGTTTCCACATATATATTATTATGAAGATACTTTTGAGTTCCGAAAGAAACTGGTGATTTCTCTTCTCAGACTGTGTAATTTGCAAATGATGAATTCGATTTTATATAAATGCATTTTCATGCTTGGAAGATTCACCTATAAAACTTCTTCCCATGAGGAGAAGTTCTGAGAAGTAATAAGTGTACACTCATATACTGTAGGGCATTGACATTACAGATAATGAATTGATCATTTTATGACATTAGATGTTGTTTTCGGCCCGAAGCAACGTTCATAGGTCAGTCTTAATATGACTTACGCACGTTAGCGGAACAAAGAATGTGTGCGCCATTTGGTTCTGAAACAAAAGGCGATTACACCAGATAGATATAAATCATCAATAATCTCGAAACCATACGAAACAGAGATGTTAGCGGGGAACTGTAATGCGCCTAGATTTCCTAAGATAACGCCTATTGGATAGCATACAAAAATACTTATTACTAAAATTTGTATTCAGTGAGAATCCACTTAAGAATTCTGAGTTAAACTACATATCATGACGGAAATTATGTACACTCAAGATAATGTGGAAGTCATTTAATTGAATCTATTTCAAAGAAATTCGTTAACATCAAGTATAAGCATCACAAAACTGAAGGGTTTCTAATCGTGGGTAGAAATACATTCGTTACTTCTTGATTTTTTTTACCAACTACAGTTATTATGTAATGAAAATTATTTAAAAACCAATCAGTTCTCTACAATTTTCTAAAGTGGATAAAATATTTCCGTGTTATGCAAAGCTGCATATTGAACTATTTATTTGTTTAGTGACATAAGCAGACAGCAAACAAAATCTACGTAGATATTAAAATGGGTGATCAAAATCAATTACCAGTATCCAGAAATAAGATTATTTCAAATTTAGGTACACGAATTCTTTCCTGAAAAATGTTTCCAGTTGATGTAATTTAAATATTATATAGCAGGAAGTTCAATAACCTGGAGTAGTACAAATTTTTCTGAAACAGCAATCCAAGTTTCAAATGTTGAATGGAGCCACTTGCAGAAAATACAACACAGCTTGATACAACTTAGTAGAATATTTCTAAAATCTTGACAGATTTCATGTTCCTTCTGAGATTAGTATGTGTTTTAATCATAGATGAAGTCAATGACTAATATAAAACTACACAGAACACGTCTCATCATGTGTAAGACTGAATAGTTAAATTCTGATCATTATCTGATGTTCATTTAAGTATTTCAAATTATTTCAGAATCTTCAAATGCACTAAAGCTTTTAAAACAAGAATAATGAAAGGGAATTTAATACTCAAGAGAGTTATAAGTTAAACACTATTTGCTTAGGAATTCTAATAGTATCACCATTCAAACAGCCATCTATCATAGTACCCGTGAGAATAGCTATCCTAGCTAGCTATTGGTTGATTTTTTCATCTCCTACATACAAGTGTAACAACCAATCATATTTAGGATATATTTTCTTCCTAAAAGCTTATGAAATACTAACAAAAATAGGTTTTATGCATTCTGATTAACATTTGTGTATTTTAACAGTGTTGTATAACACCAGTTGCTATTTCGGATTAGTCAACACAATGACTAAAAGATCGAAAAAACCAATATCTGAAGAAGAATCTCAATTAAGAAAAGGTCTTAAGAAAGAACTTCTCTATTTTTGTCAAACAACTACAATTCGTGGTGTAACAAGAGTTGTAAACGCTCGTAATCAAACATTACAATCTTTATGGATAGGATCAGTTATCTTATTTTTCGGTGGTTTATTTGTCTGTATGTTTATATTAACACGTCAATATCTGGAGTATAATGTAATTCATCCACCGCAAGTATTACGTGATACACTATCCCCTTTTCCATCATTAACATTATGTAATCTAAGACCATTATCTTCTGAAGCTAAAAATATTCTAGAAAAGTATAAATTAAAATCACCGAGACAGTTTGCTACAGATGTGAACAATTTCGCTGCTAAGGCATATTATTATAATAATGAAGAACATTCATATCAACAAGTGACTAGCGCAATATCAATGGGAGGATATTTAGAAAGTTTGCCTAAAAGTGTTGTCCCAAAACTTGGACATAATTTAAGTGATACAGTTATTCACTGTATGGTAAGTTAAAGTATTTTACAGTTAAAAGTAGAAATTGATCATTATGATGAGATGCTTATTTGCATTATATTAATGCAATTAATCCAGTGTGTCACAATTGGGTTAAATGCTTTGATTATATATATATATATATCAAGTCTTTTATCTCAATGGAAAATCTTCTTTTTTGATGGGAACATCTTGTATAGATTCTGACATATACGTCGATAATAAAGTGTATTCAAAAATTAAGATAATCTATTGCGCTGAAAAATTTCTTCAATTAGAGCTTTCTGTAACTGAAAATGTTTTCAGTAACGCCTTAAGCTAGACGCAAGATATGTCAACAAAGAAGAATCAAGACAAGTTCTTGCTGAAACTACTGACTGTGTGAAACTTATCAGGAGGTGGTTGTTACATAAAGGATAGTGAAGAAAAGGTAGTTTTTTCTTGTGGATACCTGGATTTTGTTAGAGTTATCCCATTTTAGAACTACTGAAAATTCTTGTTCTTAAAACTTCGAAATATTTATAGCTTATGAGGATGATTTCGGTTGTGTTGCGTTTTCTGAACTGAACTTTCTCGTTATGGAGCTTCTTCTAGCAGAAAAGCTTTTTTGGAAGTAAAGCTATTCACTTGCATTTTATTGTGTGTTATATTATAGACTTCACTCGATGGTGAGGTATGCAAGAATAGTGAAAACATTTGACATGATATCAGCACTTCTTCACAAAAGTGATACTGATTTGATTTGGAATGTCAAGAGTTTATCTAGCACTCTCTTTTATGCTAATCCTGATAGTACTAACTGACTCCCCGTGGTAAATGTGTAACTTAACTAGCACTGAATATATTTTCATATAGCTAGCATCTTCAATGGGCTTCTTTTTTTACAAGCTTCTAAATGTAGAGGTAAATTTCAGTAACACTGTGTCACGTTTAAATTTTAACTATTGTTCTAAAGGTTCCCTGTATTAAATTTAATTTCTAGTAACGGCCTTCGAAATTCTCATGACGATACGGTGAACATACCATACTCCTCTACAGTCGCCAACATCCTTAATAATGCACAAAAGATTCATTGTGCTACTTGGTAGATATGATGAGGTTATTTACACGCCATAGAAGAATGAGTAATGTTTAAGCATACTCCTAAATTCACCATTTTCAACACAAAAGTCTTGTTAGTCTGTAGCACTAAATGTTATTTGATAGTCGTATCTAGATGACATGTCTTAAAGTTAAATATAAAAACTTTCATCTTCATGGTTTCATGTTGGCATATGTCGCCAGTTGCATAGAAAATGCTTTGTTGTTACTTGTATCCCAGCAGCGTTCATTTAAACTGTCATGTTTTGGTTTATGGTTTAATATCACTCTAGGAAAACGCCCCTGAGAATCTTAAGTCTCTTTATTTCCAAAACACCAAGTAGCTGTTAGCCTCCTTTAAAGACACAGTCGCATTACAGACGTCTAAGCTTGTTTTTCTTAATTCTGCAATTGCCCGAAAATTTTTCCAAAAAATCTACAAAGATGTCTATTGATAGGAATTTATCATCCATTTGTTAAGTGTTTATTTTCTAGTTTGGAATATCTACAAAACTCGTACTATAAATAATTTGAAGAAAATATTATTTAATCCCTCCATCGAATCAACAATATTTTCTATTTATAATCTAATGCAATCAATGCTCATTGTTTTATTCATTCTTGTTCACACTAAATCTACTTCTCAGAAACTGAAATATCGATTACTATTTGTGATTTGGTTGAATTGGGCGAGTGGCATGGATAGAAATGATGACTAAGTTATTTTATCAGTGAGGTGTTCTGGCATTGATTTCAGTGCTTTTCCTGTTCCGTCAGTTAGCTGATTTAATTGTAAAGATCTTGTTATCCTTCAAGAGTAAAACCTTCGCAGCTAACTTCAAAATGGGGTCACATTGTATTGGTAATGACTGTTTTGTTAACCAGATGTTTGACCTTCTTCCAAAAGAGCGACTTGTTGTTCACCGATCAACAAACCTGGGCTGTTCAACATATCTATCAAGTACAGATTGATCCGAGAATCAGGTATTCTTAGAATTTCAGCATAATCTTCCAGTCGCAGCGTTAGTTTTGGTTGTCCATAAATACTGAAATGAAGAATTCAATGCCATACCCTTCGTTGATTAGTTTATGTTCATATTCGTGAAGGTGAAAAAGACATTCAGTTTTGCCATAATGGTGCATTTCTCACAGTTTATGCAGTTAAATGTGCAGATGATGTTGAAAATGTCTCATTTGGTTAGAATTGAAATCTAGGATGGGTGTTTTACCCCATCTGGGCTCTTCATCTGTATTGTTGGTATTAGATGGTTGGATGCAATCGGCAGGAAGCCTTGGACCTAGGTTTCGTGCTAGTTGGCACTCATCAGCAAGGCGTATCTGCAACCTTGAAGGAACTGATGTCCCTTCTGAGATTCGAACCCGCGTCACCCAGTGCTGCAGTCAGAGACGTTACCACTGAGCTATTCAGGCTCGCGACTGACCTCCTGTAGGACTGTATTGGATATTTTTGATTGCACACTAGTTACTGACTAGTGTGCAATCAAAAAAATCTTCATCTGTATGTACTTGCAATCTCCCTCCACGGGGATTCGAACCCAACGCCCGAAATTTCGAACGCCAAAGTGTCATCCACTAAGTCACACTGACCACGACAGGTATTTCCTGTTAAACGAGTATCACTTATTATTACTGTAATGCTGAAAATTTCGCTGCAGTCACTCAATGGGAAAAAATTGAAGAAATAACTGACGCCGTCTTTTCTTATTGTTGTATCTTTCTAGAATACCAAAAGCTTAGCACTGAAGATGCAGTCTAGGAAGACACTGAGAGTTTTTCAGTCAACTCATACAGCTCACGGAATACAACAGCACCGGGAACATTCACCTGTAATATCCCTCTTTTTAGAATGCCATCCTATTTTACTTTAAGAATAAGGAAACTAGCGTCAACCGATATCAATTCACGCTAGTTATGTATTAATGAGAGGGAGATTCTCAGAGATTTATATTTTTATGAAGAATAAATTGTGTCATACACTTGAAGGAACTATTCTGCCTTATGATATTTACATTAAGTAATAATATGGAACTTAGATTTTCATTTCAATAAATAAATGGACGAATAATAATGATAGGAATAATAATTATTTTATTCCAAAAAAATAATTTTTAATACGGAATGGAATTTTCAGGACTGTAAATATGACAACAATTTATCTACTTTCATAAATAAATAAATAAACAAAATAATTAAGCTAAAACAACAGAATCTAATAGAAGAAGAGTATCTGTGGCAATAATGGGAATAAGTTGCTGATTGTTTACTGATTATATAGAAAGTAGGTTTACGTTTGTCTCCTCACACAATACCCACGCTTAATATAGTATGGTTGAATTTCTGAATATTTCTGTGATAGCGTAAATTCTTACGAAAGCTCTCCTGGTTTTGCCCAAAGGGATACATGGGAAAAGTAACAAATAAAGAGGATTTGCAGTATACGAAAAGATGATTTTAGCCAATTACTTGCAAGAACTAAAATGCCTATCAAGAAAAATCTCAGGTAGTTGGGTCATATGGCACTCCATTAGCCTTGCTTATAGCTTTCGATGTTATACGTAATATGGCATAGTCTTTTTTGGTTATTCTATGGGTATAACAAGAGGAAACTACTATAAAGAAGGATGGGTAGAAAACGTGAATTAATAAATTGTAAAAGCAGAGACTGAGTTAAGGCAGAAAGTTGCCACTTTCCTTATATAATAAGTCAGACGGAATATCAGCAAGACGTGAGACAACCAACGAAGATTTGAAGAACAACTGATATCAAAATGGGCAATATTCGATTTGTTCCCTGAATTAGATAATATAGAGTTCTATTTACTACTACTACTATTTTTACAATAAGTTATTACAATTTTTGGTAATAAACTGGTCAATTTTTACAGTATGAGGACAAAACACCAATTATAAATGTTACATTGATGTAACAATTTACAAATAATGATCATGATAACATTTTGTTCGTCTTATTGAATTCTTCCTATCGGCGTTATCCTTCTTTCATTTCTTTCTCATGCACATTTTTAATGGTAAACAAACTTATATTATTGCTTTTCTTAGGGAATTCGACATACTACTTATATTTGTCTGATAATTAGTAGATGTCATTGTGGTCACTGCATGCAAGTTAATAATTCACTCACCCTTAATAACTAACTAGTGATCAGTCAATAAATATAAGACCTTCATGATTATTTTAAATATGATTAATAGAAAGATTTAAGATAGGTTATCAGGTCAAGTTAGAGCTTTTAAAATAATTAATCAGCAATATGCAATAAAATCTCATGAGGGAGAAATTCTCATACACAATATTATATATATACTGTGTTGTTAATACTTAATTTTTAAAAGATTTTTAAAGTTGATCTTACTTGTCAAAATGTTCATTTTAGATAAAATCTGACTTATCAAACGATCATTTGAAGAAATTCATAAGATAAATTGAAAGGTAGAAAAAAAGAAGTGAATGAACGGTTGGTCCTTGAACATCGGTTAATCTGTCATCCATGAGGACAAGAGAAAAAAATTAATTCTCAGTATGTTACGATAGAGGCAGTCAACTTTATCCAGTATTATCACAAATGCAGAATATGTGTACTGGTAAATAAGCTCTCTTATTCTAAGAATATTTAGGTAAATCTAATTATTAGACGTAGTCGACCTTCAGGTTTTGGTTGACAAACAGTTTTATTCCCCGAGTTTTGGGCATATAGGCAAACGGTCTTGAACCATGATCTTATTAGCTGAATGTCAATTAGTCAAGGTGATTAGCTGTCTTATTTGCAAAATCCTGCGTTCCAATGACATTTGCCGGGTATCGCTACTTTGAATATCTGATAAACACAAGTGTTTATGAGGATTTGATTGATTTCGTGCTTAATGTAGGGCTAACGTCTGTAAGAGAACCA